GCGATTAATATTAAAATGTGATAAACTTGCGAGGAACTTGACTTCGCGCGCTTAGCATAAAATTTCATTCATATTTTTTTCGCTAATAATCGTTTGCTTATCTTTTCATTTTTATTTTTTTAAGCTATAAAATACGATGTTTCTTTTTTAGTCGTCTAAAATTCTATTTGCAATTTAGTAAAGAAATTTGAATAAAACATTTTGAATAAAAAACATTTTATTCAACGAATGTCGAGTTTTATAAAAGCAGGCTTCTGATCGAATATGATTATACACCATATTGTGCTTATTTAATGCGATATTTTTTAGTTTTTTTTTTCCTCAATAACTGATACAATTTCAATAGTATACATACGTATAAATAGATTAGGAATAAAAATATTTATAAATTTCTTGAATTTTTTTTTTATAAATATTAATAAAAATACGTAGTAAACATATTTAAGCATATCTCACATCATCGCAAATTTCTCAACATCTTACTTGTCGTCTTAATCTTAAAAGTAATTTTTTAATCACCTGTCCGGAAGTGTTTCGCTGAATCATTTCACAAACTATTTAATTAAGTTTTAAAATTTTTAAAAATATTATTCTTTTCCCTACTACGCTTATTATTTCTTCATTAATATACTAATCAATTTTTTTAGTACTTGAATTTAGGTTTTCTTTAAAGTAAAGTTCCTTTTTAAATTATAGTCAAGTTTTTTTTAAAAAGAATTATTGTCCGCTAGCTAAGAAAAAAAACCTTGTTAAGAAATTAAAAACATCCCGCTGTTTTAAATTATTTAATGCAAAACAGCTAATTATTTACTAAGCATATTATTTTTTTCGAAAAAAAGTATATGAATCATTGATTGTCTTTCTTTTGTTTTGTTTCTTGTGACTTCAACATAGATTATCTAAAATAGTGCTGATGTTTAAGAAATCACTACGAAGAGTATAACGATACCGAACATAGAAAGCTGTCGAATACGTAGCCAATATTTTTAAGCGTGTTAAAATATCTCAGTATCTTAAATGTCGTCCTAACATCTTAGTTATGAAATTAAATTTTTAATTATCTGGCCACGTGTGATTCACTAATTATTTCATTACATCTTTTACTCTTTCTTTATGATTCCATGTAGGTTTTTTTCCAGATAATGTACTAAACTATTTTGTTTAATATTTTACTTTAGCATGATTCTCTAGATATTATTGTAGTATAATTTGTTATCAGGAAAAATGCCTTATTTTGTTAAGTAATACTAAATGGAATACTTGGAAATATTAAAAATTTAAAATTGTAAGAAGATTCCGAAGCTGTGCCAATTTTAGAATCATCTGATTTTATAAAATTAATTATATGATTTCCAAACTTATTTTGATAAAGAAAGAGAAAAAAAAAGAGAAAAAAAGGCTGAAGAAGAAGCATACTTTCAAGAAGGCTAGCATACTTTCTACAGAAACTGTGAAAATCACTTTTTCCTATATTTCGCCAAAAGAGGGTAAGAATGATATTGCTCCAAGGGACTTACTCAATAATTTCGCTATTTCCAGAATGAAATCTGTTTGATCGAAACGTATTTCCTTTAAAATTAAAACGAGGAAAAAATTAACTTTTATCATTTATCTAAGCTTATTCCATTTATTTAATGATAGCGGTATAAAGGTTAAGGATATGCGATGGAAGCCCCGTTTACTATTATACTAAAAATGCATTAAATCATAACTTGAATAATTTATTTTAAGCAAATCATTTAATAATTTTAAGCAAATAAGGGGGTAAAAATAAACTAAGTAAAAATACTCCGAAAGAATACCATAAAATATATTTAGAATAAACTTTGGAATCGATATATAAAAAATACCTTTTCAAACAACTTCGAGTAGAACGAAAACGCTAGCTTGTTTGAAATAGTTGTCCTTGTAACTATTTAATTTCGATTCCTGGTGCTAGGGGACATTCCATTTTCACATTCGACTAAACCTGTTTACTTTNNNAAAAAAAAAAAAAAAAAAAAAAAAAAAAAAAAAAAAAAAAAAAAAAAAAAAAAAAAAAAAAAATCAAATTGTGCGGCATTGATTTTTTTTACAAAGTAGTGAATTATTATTTTTTCAATCTAAGAACCTGTGCCTACAACTTATGTAAAACTTATTTTAATATCGAGTGAAATAATTTAATATGTTGT